GCCGCTCTTTATGCCCGGCAGGGCCAGGACCAGAGCCCCCGCAAGAGGGTTCCTCTTTCCGGTCGCACGTGCCCTTCACCCTTTCCGAGGCCGTTTTTTTGACGCTCCTGAGCTTCCCTCCTCCAGGGGGGAGGGCAGGCGCGGTGGGAAGGCGTTGGACAGAGCAGACACTCGGCTGGGGTGCGTGCCCGGGTGCAGCCTCGTCTTTTGTCACTAACCACTCAGCTCGGTAGCCCTCCAGGCTGTCTCTTCGAGCTCCGCGATCTCCGCGCCCCCGCTCTGCTCTGCTAACTGTGATGCAGGGGTTCGGGGGCAGGAAAAATCTCGACCCGCCACGCCCGTGCGGCATACCTGTCCTAGGTTGAGGGGGCATGAGGCGCGCACAACCAGGGCCTCGAAGGCAGGCAAGAGGGCGCGGGCGCCACCGAAGCCTGGGCCTGCGCCTGGGCCCGCGCCTGGGCCCGGCAGATGTGCCCCGCGCTCGGGCCCCGCGCTCTGCGTCCTGCAGGGAGGCGGACCCGCCCCGCCGAGCGCGCAGGCGCGCGGCGCCGGGCTCGGACCGTAGCTCCGCGCTGGGCGGCCACTGGCTGGCCGGGCAGGTAAGCACCCAGCGGCTCGTGGGCTCAGACCCTGCGGACCCTGGGCGCCGCGCCACCCCACTCCGCCTAAGGCGGCGAGGGCTCGGGTCTGCGGCTCCGGCGTCTCGGTCCTTCCGAGCGCCTCCGGCGGGGGGCGCGGGCTGGGAAGGAGGTTCGGAAAAACGCCGGGGAAAGCGGTCTGGGCGGAGCGCGCAGGTGGCCGGGCGGGTGCGGGGCTCCAGGCCCAGTCGACCCTACGGCGTGGCTTCGGGCTGCGATCCCGAGGGGCGAGGAGGGTGGAGGCTGCGTGTTTGGAGATATGCAATCAATTAAGAGTTTTTTATTAATGGAAAGGAGGTGTGGAGGGCGGGGTTTTGGTTTTCTTGGGAAATGAGTCATGTGGCAAACTTTCCTATTATTAATTTTCGATTTTTATAATGGAATATGGAATTTTCTCTCTCTCTCTTTTTTTTTTTTTTTGGCCATAAAGAATAAAAAGAATTCCGCCATTTTGGCGTTTTAAAAAGTAACCGTTCTGCGGAACTGTTGGATCAGTGACCGCCCCGCCCGCCTTTGCCTATACCAGTCCCGGGAGGCTGGTGGCGGTTCCCGATCCTAGAACCCTGCGCTCAGGGCCGCTACCGTCCCCTCCCGCGTCCGGGAAGCAGCTGCGGCGAGGGGCGGGGCCGAGGCCCCAAGTTTGTGGATCTCAGCTTCGCTGTGTGTTGTTTTCGGGGTAGCTGTCGAGGGCTCTACTCCCCACCTAACACCTATAGTAAGGGCATTTATTGGGCGTTTTTGTACACAAGGCCTTGGAAGGCAAGGGATTGAGGAAACCTTGTCAGACATGAAGAGAAAATACCCATGGATACATTCAGCCAATATATATTTATTGAGCATCTGCTATGTACACGGCTCTGTGCTGGGGCTACAATGGTTGTTTTAGGTCGGGTCCCCTGGAAACAGACTCCGATAGCAATATTTGAGTGTAGGTTTATCGGAGTGCTCTTGGGAATATCACCAGTAGGGGAATGAAGGCGGGTTGGGCGGAGGAAGAAGCTGAACTGCTGATGTAGTCTCAACAGAGGCCTCAACCTGACCCAATGGAAGCTCTGGAACTGACATGGCCCTGCAGAGGTGTTCCGAAGTAAGGCAAGGGGGTGGGGTCTCCACACCTCATAGCAACTCATCATTGGCTGGCGGCTTCCAGGAGAGCGTTCAAGCCTGGTAGCTCTCTAGGCTCTGAGCAATTCCAGGAGAGGCTGACGGCAGAAGGCTGAAAACTTTTTTCAGTGTCCACCAGAAACCCAGACTCTTCTGAGTTCCCTCTCACTTCATGGCCGACTCCTTCTCAGTCTCTTTTCCTCTTCCCAACCTATAAATGTGGGTGTGCTCCAAGGTTCCCACTTTTTTCTTTATATTCAGTTACGTAGTTTTCTTTCTTTCTCTTTCTTTCTTTTCCTTTTCCTTTTCGTTTTCCTTTTTTCTTTTCTTTTTTCTCTTCCCTCCCTCCCTCCCTTCTTTTCTTTTTCTTTCTTTCTTTCTTTTTCTCCCCCCCTTCCTTCTTTCCTTTCCTTTCTTTCTTTCTCTCTGACAGGGTCTTGCTCTGTCGCCGAGGCTCGAGTGCAGTGGTGTGATCATAGCTCACTGCAGCCTTTACCTCCCAGGCTCAAGTAACCCTTCCGCCTCAGCCTCCCCAGTAGCTGGGACCACAGGGGTCCACCACCATGCTCAGCTAATTTTTATAATTTTTTGTTGAGGCTGAGGCCTCACTGTGTTGGCCATGCTGGTCTCAAACTCCTGGGCTCAAGTGATCCTCCCACCTTGGCCTCCCAAAGTGCTAGGATTACAGGCATGAGCCACCGGGCCTCACCCCAGTTCCATGTTTTTAAATGCCATCTACACATGCTGGTCTTCAAATTTATACCTCCAGCCCCAACCTCATCCATTATCTCCAGAATATAAGCTTCATGAGAGCATTTGATCATGTTTGTGACTGTAATCCCAGAGCACAGAATGGTACTGACACCCACTTGGTCCTCCAATGCTTGCTGAAGGCAGCAAGCCCAAACAGAAAGGCAATCTTTAAATCCAGCTTCTGCAATAGACCTGAGATGTGACAGGTTTTGACACAGAGTGAAGTTCTTTTAGAAATAACCACATTCACTCTTAACTGTCAGTGTTTCAAATAAAAAGATTAACTCTATTTATTTGTTTATTTATTGAGACAGGGTCTCACTTTGTGACACAGGCTAGAGTGCAGTGGTACGATCTTGGCTCACTGCAACCTCCACCTCCTGGGTTCAAGGGATGCTCCTGTCTCAGCCTCCTGAGTAGCTGGGATAACAGGTGTTTGCCACCCTGCCCAGCTAAATTTTTGTATTTTTGGTAGAGATGGGGTTTCAAGATGTTGCCCAGGCTGGTTCTGAACTCCTGGCCTCAACTGATCTGCCTCCCTTGGCCTCCCAAAGTGTTGAGATTACAGGCGTGAGCCACCACACCTGGCCTGCCTGGCTAACTTTTGTACTTTTTTTTTTTTTCCCTCGCTCTGTCACCCAGGCTGGACCGCAGTGGCCAGATCTCAGCTCACTGCAAGCTCCGCCTCCTGGGTTTACGCCATTCTCCTGCCTCAGTCTCCTGAGTAGCTGGGACTACAGGCGCCCGCCACCTCGCCCGGCTAGTTTTTTGTATTTTTTTAGTAGAGACGGGGTTTCACCGTGTTAGCCAGGATGGTCTCGATCTCCTGACCTCATGATCCGCCCATCTCGGCCTCCCAAAGTGCTGGGATTACAGGCTTGAGCCACCGTGCCCCGCCTACTTTTGTACTTTTGTAGAGATGGGGTTTCACCATGTTGCCCAGGCTGGTCTCCAATTCGTGAGCTCAAAGCGATCCACCTACTTTGGCCTCCCAAAGTGCTGGGATTATAGGCGTGAGCCACCACGTCTGGCCTAACTCTATTTAAAGGTATTTAAAATAGTACAAGTACTTCAGCTGTGCAAAGCAAATTGGAATTGAAATTCAGGGAATTATGTTTTATAACTTTTTTTTCTTTTTTCTCTTTTTTTTTTTTTTTTGAGATGGAGTCTTGTTCTGTTGCCCAGGCTGGAGTATAGTGGCATGATCTTGGCTTACCACAACTTCCACCTCCTGGGTTCAAGCAATTCTCCTGCCTCGGCCTCCCAAGTAGCTGGGATTACAGGTGCCTGCCCCCACGCCCAGCTAATTTTTTTGTATTTTTAGTAGCAATGGGGTTTCACCATGTTGGTCCGGCTGGTCTCGAACTCCTGACCTCAGGTGATGTACCTGCCTCGGCTTCCCAAAGTGCTGGGATTACAGGTGTGAGCCCCTGCACCCAGCTAATTTTTTTTTTTCTTTAGAGACAGGGTCTCGCTCTGTCACCTAGACCAGAGTACAGTGGTGAGATCATGGCTCGCTGCAGCCTTGACCTCCCAGGCTCAAGTAATCCTCCTGCTCAGCCTCTGGAGTAGCTGGGACTACAGGCATATACTACAACACCTGGCTAATTTTTATTTTTTAAATTTTTTATAGAGACAGGGTCTCCCTGTGTTGCCTAGGCTGGTCTTGAGCTCTTGGGCTCAAGCAGTCCTCCCACTTCAGCCTCCAAAGTGCTGGGATTACAGGTGTGAGCCACTGCATTGGACCCATACAGTGTTTTGTTTGCTTTTGTTTTTTGAGATGGAGTCTTGCTCTGTCTCCCAGGCTAGAGTACAGTGGCATGATCTCGGCTCACTGCAACCTCCACCCTCCACCTCCCAGGTTCAAGCAATTCTCCTGCCCCAGCCTCCCCAGTAGCTGGGATTACAGGCACATGCCACCAAGCTGGCCCCATACACTGTTTTTTATTAACAAGTTCAAGTTACTGAAATCCAACACAAGTACTTATTAAGCACCTACTATGTGCCACGTACGAAGTGTTGGGGATATAGCAATGAACAAGACAGACAGTCAGCATTTATGTGGAGATGACTGATCAAACACAGAAATAAATGAAGATCACTTTTGATTATAATGAAGGATGAGAAAGAAAGAAATATATAATAGTAATGAGACAGCTAGTGGTGGGAACGGGTGAGGGGTATGCTGCTGCTTTAAATTCCTTGGTCAGGCCGGGCTCGATGGCTCACGCCTATAAACCCAGCACTTTGGGAGACCGAGGTGGGCAGATCACCTGAGGTCAGGAGTTTCAGACCAACCTGGCCAACATGGTGAAACTCCGTCTCTACTAAAAATACAAAAATCAGCCAGGTGTGTACCTGTGGTGTGTACCTGTAATCCCACCTAGTCAGGAGGCTGAGGTAGGAGAATTGCTTGAACCCTGGAGGCAGAGGTTGCAGTGAGCCGAGATGGTACCACTGCACTCCAGCCTGGGCAACAGAGCGAGACTCCATCTCAAAAAAAAAAAAAAATTTGGTAAGGAAAGACCTCTTCTGAGGAGGTGACTATTGAATTGAGCAATGGAGGATGGGAAGGAGCCAGTCAAGCAGAGAGCTTGGGGAAGGGCGTTCCAGGGGTAGGGAACAGCAAGGGCAAAGGCTGTGAGTGGGAATGTTGGTCAAGCAATAGAAGGAAACCAGAGTCTGTTGACTGGAGAGAACAGGGGAAGAATGGCATAGGATGAGGCCAGAGGGAAAAGCAGAGGTCAGATTTTCTAGGGCAAAGCACTTTGATTTTACTCTAAGGGCAACAGAGAGCCATTGAAGAATTTAGATAGGGAAATTATGTGATTTGGTTTATGTTTTTAAAGTTTTTCTTACTGGGGAGTAGACTGTAGGGGTGCAGGAAAGGAAGCAGGAAAATGGGCTAGAAGGCAATTTCAGAAGTCCAAAGAGAGCTGCTATTGGCTGGGACCAGCATGGCAGCAGTCGAGATGGAGAGAAGTGGTTAGACCTTCAGTGTGTTTTGGAGGTAGCACTGACAGGCCAAGCTGTGCTGTCCAATACAATAGTCATGGCTACTGTCGCTATTTATTTTCTTATTTATTCTCAGAGACAGGGTCTCGCTATGTTGCCCAAGCTAGCCTCCGACTCCTGGGCTTCAGCCATCCTCCTGGGTCAGCCTCCAGAGAACTTGGGACTACAGGCATGCACCACTGTAACTACCTTCTGGTAATTTTTAAATTTAACTAAAATAAAATAAAATAAAAAATTCAGTTCCTCAGTCATAGTAGCCCATTTCAAGTGCTCAGTAGCCACATGTGGCTAGTGGCTACTGTGTTGGACAGTTTAGGTATTGGACAGTCTCATGATCACAGAAAATTCTACTGGACAGTGCTGGTAAGGCAAGTAGGACAGTGGCCAGTATATTTTAGGTGCTGAGTAAATAGATATTAAGTATATTCTTTGTATCTCTAGGTCTTTTTCTTTATGTTTTTACCTGTTGAATGAACTCTATGAAATGCCTCTACTGCCTTTGCATTATTAAAACAAAATCACGTACTGACTTGACTGCATTTTCGTACACTACGTCTTTGCTCTTCAGATGCGTACATGTGTTCAGCAGATATCTGAGTGCCCACCCTGTGCTTGGGGTTGGAGGGAGTGGTGGACAGGGCCATAAAAGAACATGATCAGGAAAGATCCCACCTCCCAGGAAGATGAACCCTGTGTGGGTGAAGGAATACCTGGTATTTGAGGTCTCTGAATCCCCAGAGGGAAGAGGGAGTGATTCTAGTGGGGATAGAGGTGGGGTCAAGAAAAAGGTGAGTTTGGATGTGGCCTGGGCTGTGTCCTGGAGACAACTGGCCAGACAGAACCTTGACCCTAGTCATGCTCCCCAGAGTCAGTGCTGTACATCACAGTTTACAAAGTACCCTCACACATGCCACCCTACCCATCCTTACCATCCTTACAGAGACTGGGGAGGTGCAGGGCCTGGCCAGAACAGGAGCCAGACCTGATGCTGGTCTTGAAGACACCCTACTCCCCACAGGACTGAGGCCTTTCTCTGCAGGTTACGGGTTTGAAGGTGGCCAGCTTCTCAAAGAAGCCCCATCCCTTCACATCTCCATTGCTTCTGTAACAGAGGTCCCCACCTGATCACCCTGGGGGCTGTGTTTGGCTTGTAGGCCTGCCAGGATGGAGGGGCATGCTGAAATGGAGATGCTGAGGACACTGAAGGGGCCTTCCACAGGGGAGGTCAGCGTGCACTTGATGGCCAGAGACAGCCCCGGTTCTGGTCCTCACCTGCCTGCAACTGCCTTTATCATTCCAGGTGAGTCAAGCTAGGGTAGGAGTCTGGGGAGGAAGAGCATCTCTGTACTTGCACAAGCAAGTGTGGATCCTGGAGAGGGGATGACTGTTTTCACTCTCCTCCACCTGCCTTCCTTCACATGCCTACACATGCATGGCAGGATTGAGGCAGGGCCACTAGACTCACCCGTGTCGTGTCTATTTGTATATCTGTTTACAGCCAGCTCGGCCAACCTCGGCCTGCCCAGCAGTGCCCTGGATGTGTCTTGCTTTCCCCGGGAGCCAATCCATGTGGGTACCCCGGAGCAAGTGGCCGGCAGCGAACCGGTTCCTGCCACTGTCCTGCCGCAGCTTAGTGCCGGGCCGGCCAGCTCCAGCACCAGCACAGTGCGGATTCTGGAATGGACAGAGGCCGCGGCCCCGCCCCCTGGGGGCGGCCTGCGGGTCAGTGTCTGTGGGGATTGGCTAAACCTCGTAAACCACAGCCATGGGGCGGGGCTTGCGGGCCCGGAGGCCGGACCTGAGGCGGAAGCGGGGGAAGCTGGCTAAAATGTTGGGCCCTAGGGGTGGGCTTTGAGTGAGGGACTCTAGGGGCGTGGCTTGAGTTGAAGCACTCCTAGGCCCTGGGGACTATGGGGGCGTGGCTTAGAGTGAGGCACTCTGGGACTGGGCCTATGGGTGTCTGGGGGCGTGGCTTAGAGAGGGGCACTCTGACTGGGCCTGTGGTAGTTTGGGGGCGTGGCTTAGAGTGGGGCACCGTGGGACTGGACCCCGCAGGTGCTTGGGGGCGTAACCTGGAGTGAGGGTTTGGCTGGTATAGCTTGGAGTGAGGTGCCCTGGCATGGAGTCTTGAGGCCTGCTGAGGGCGTGAGCTGGCATGAGGCGACGAGAGGGCCATGGCCCCGACGCCGAGGTGGGTCAAGGGCCCGTACGGGAGTCGCAATCCTCAGACCCTCCTGCGCTCCAGTTTCGGATAAGCGAGTACAAGCCGCTGAACATGGCGGGAGTGGAGCAGCCCCCGAGCCCCGAGCTGCGGCAGGAAGGCGTGACCGAATACGAAGATGGCGGGGCCCCTGCTGGAGATGGCGAGGCGGGCCCCCTACAAGCGGGTAGGAGCCCCGCTCCCCAGGCCCTGAGCTGGGCCCTGTGCGGGTGGGGTGAGGCCTGAGCCCCAGGAGGACCGGGGGCGGGGCCCAGGGTGGTCCTGGGGTGGAGAAGGCTGGAGGAGGCCATCCGATGCGGAGATGGACTGAGGCGGAGGCAGGGTCTGAGGGGGCGTGGGCGGAGCCTGAGTGTGGCTGCAATGGGGAGGGAGGCCTGAGGCCCATTTGGCCCCCGCAGAGGACCACCCCCAGAATCCTCCAGAAGATCCCAATCAGGACCCCCCAGAGGATGATAGCACCTGTCAGTGCCAGGCGTGCGGGCCTCACCAAGCCGCGGGTCCAGATCTTGGTTCCTCTAATGATGGCTGCCCTCAGCTGTTCCAGGAGCGGTAAGGGGAGGAGGTCGCAGCCCTTCTCGCTCTGCCTTCAGCCCCCAAAGCCTCATTCCTGTTCAGGGGTTAGGAGAGGGGCTGGGTGGTGCAGGGCGGGTGGTTCTTTCTCTAAGGCTGGCCCTTCCTCAGGTCAGTCATAGTGGAGAACTCCTCAGGCTCCACCAGCGCTTCTGAGCTCCTCAAACCCGTGAAGAAGAGGAAGCGCAGGGAATACCAGAGCCTATCAGAGGAGGAGTCGGAGCCAGAGGCCATGGTAGGAAGAGAGCAGTGGGGAAGGGAGGGGGAAGCTATAGCTTATGCCTCAATTCCCACTGTCGCCTCCGTCGATCCAGATTATGGAGCTGGGCCAGAGAAGACACGCATAATGACTCACTCATCATATTTGGGGGTCCCATCCTGAGTCAGGTCTTATACCTGCTTGGAGGGAAATGAATTAATCACTCTCCTGATTTTCCAGAGCTCCCATCTCAGTTTAGTGTCAAGGTTAAGACATAGTCATGCGAACTAGTACCCAAAGTACATGTGCAGGCAGCTGGAAAACTCCATCACTGGGGTCCAGTACCTAGGCCAAAGGCCAAGGAACACCCAGGGCTCTAGCTGCAGAAGCTGGAAGGGACAGAGCATGAATTCTACTGGGCATGTAAGAGCATCACAAAGGAAGTTTTTGTGTACCAGATAACAAGGAAAGTTGTAGTCAGGCTGTTTAATTAGGATATGCATGCTCATGTGAGTCTGTGCTCAAGTGATAGGGGGATGTGTGCTGGAGCCACACTCCTGCTGGCAGCCTAGAAGAAATTCTGCCTGTTTGGGGCGGAATACCACATGGCCAGAGAGCCAGGTAGGGGCCAGGATCAGACGCTAGCACTTCATCCCAAACCATGAGGAGAAGAAGCTGGGATCAGGCTTGCCTTCTACAGGAGAAGCAAGAAGAAGGAAAGGACCCAGAGGGACAACCCACTGCTAGCACCCCGGAGAGTGAGGAGTGGAGCAGCAGCCAGCCTGGTACGATGGCCTGTGTGTATATATTCGTGTGAGGTGTGTATGCGCCTTTGAAGGTGTGAGGCTGGGAGTGTGGGTTATGATTGTGATGGTAGGTTGTACATACATAAATGAGCATGAGTTAGTGTGTGTGAAAGAGAGAGAGACAGTGAGAGGCTGTTTTGGGTTTGTGTATTAGTGTATGTGTGTTCTTGGGGGTTATATCATGTGTTTGTTTATCCTCTTATTACCCAGTCATGACTAGGCCCCAGTGCCAGGGAGATCTTGGCTCAATTTTTGAAGACTTGAGTAGCTTTTACTGGCACCACATGTCATTGCTTCTCTTTAGTGGTAGGGCAAGCCTGCACTGGTCATTGGTCTGACATTCCTGTTTGGAACCCTATTCTCACTCTTTGATTCTAAGAAAAATGGAACAGAGGTCATTCATATCTCCAACCTTGAGGCCTTCTCTATTACCATCTCCACATTCCCATATGACAATTGTCAACTGTAGCTAAGTAGCATTGTCATACTTGTAATCACATAGATACTATGTAGCAATTTGTTTAATGTCTCTCCTCCACCCTCAAAACCATCAACACAAGGACGGTATCTAGTTTTTTTTTCTTTTTTTAAATTTTTTAAATTAAAATTTTTGGAGGGTGACAGGGTCTTGCTCTATTGGCCAGGCTGGAGTACAGTGGTGCAAACACAGCTCACTGAAGCCTTGACCTCCTGGGCTTGAGCAATCTTCCCACTTCAACCTCCTGAGTAGCTGGGATCACAGGTGCATACCGCCATGCATGGCTAATTTTTTAAATTTTTTAAATAGAGATGGGGATCTTACTTTGTTGCTCAAGGTGGTCTTGATCTCCTGGGCTCAAGTGACCCTCCTGCCTAGGTTTCCCAAAGTTCTGGGATTACAGGTGTGAGGTACCACACCTGACCCTCTTTTTTTTTTTTTTTGAGATGGAGTTTTGCTCTGTTGCCCAGGCTGGAGTGCAGTGGCACAATCTCAGCTCGCTGCAACCTCCGCCTCCCAGGTTCACGCCATTCTCCTGCCTCAGCCTCCTAAGTAGCTGGAACTACAGGCGCCCGCCACCACGCCTGGCTAATTTTTTGTATTTTTAGTAGAGATGGGGTTTCACTGTGTTAGCCAGGAAGGTCTCGATCTCCTGACCTCATGATCCGCCCGCCTCAGCCTCCCAAAGTGCTGGGATTACAGGTGTGAGCCAACGTGCCTGGCCTGGTCTCGAACTCTTGACCTCAGGTTATCTGCCCACCTCAGTCTCCCAAGGGGTGGGATTACAGGCGTGAGCCAAGGCACCCAGCCTTTTTCTTAATTTTTATTTTGGATTTAAGAGGTGGAGTTTCACTCTATTGCCCAAGCTGGTGTGTAGGGCTATTCACAGACACACTAGAGCCTTGGACTCCTGGGCTCAAGGGATCCTCCTGCCCCAACCTCCTGAGTAGCAGGGATTATAGGCATGGGCCATTGCACTTGGTTCTTGTATCTGTTTTATTAATCATTGTATCCCTGGTGCTTAGCTAGAGTCTGGTATGGAATAGGTTCTCAATCAGTGTTTGTTCAGTGGAGGAATGGATGATTTGTATGTTGGTGGTTTCTCTTGGACTATGGCTTAGTTGCCTCAGTCACTGTCTTTCCCGTCCTACAGAGAACCAGACAGATGAGGTCATTTCTTAGGACATTATCCTGCCTTGATGGATCCAGTACCAGCTGGAGGAGCCCAATCTGCACCCAGGGCTCTGAACTTTATAGTGCCTCTTCCAACTTCTGCCCATTGTAACCAAACCAGAATTTCACTGTTGTGTCTCACCTATGGTATTCATATCAGAAGGCAAAGGTTTAGCTCGCTTTGGTTTATGGCCTCTTAAGACTTATGCAGAGGAAAGAAGCAGTGTGTTAACTACTGTTGGCTCAACTGCTCTATCTTGCTTAGATAAATAGATTCGTAAATCAGCATTCTTTCAGCGAGGTCCTGTTGACCAGTGCGAAGTTATCTTTGGATGCGCACTACTCACCGCCTCAACTGTCAATAGTAGTGTGACATTTCCCCCAGTGCTTTTTTTTTGTTTTGTTTTCCAAGGAAAGAAACTCTATCAGTAGACAGAAGTTTGCATCTATGACTGAAATGTTTTCTACTCATTTTCAGAGTCTTCTGACAAAAGAATCCAGGGGGTAGGAATGGGGGTTGGGATTGCTTGAGTTTCTTGTATCTATGTTGGATCTATACTCTATTTGGCAGTTTGATGGCCAGCTTTTCAATTCATGTGACGCAGACCTGACATACCTAGAGCTGACTGAGTGCTCCAATAGTTTAAGAGTTAAAAACGTGTGACTCGTGTGCCCATTTGGGCCTTCTCTCTCATAGGTCTTCTCGTTTTTGATAACCATGTTTCGTAAATGATCATTTTCTAACACACACCATTGTAAGTTTCTAAATCTTACTTAGTCGTTCATAGATATTCTGATTGTGGTGACAGTTATAGTAGTCCCCTTTTATCTGCAGGGAATATATTCCAAGAGCCCCAGTGGATGCTTGAAACCATGGATAGTACTGAACCCTATAGATACTGTGTTTTTTCCTATCCATACCTACAATAAAGGTATGATAAATAATACACTTTAAGGCTGGGCACGGTGGCTCATGCCTGTAATCCCAGCACTTTGAGAGGCCGAGGCAGGCAGATCATGAGGTCAGGAGTTTGAGACCAGCCTGGCCAACATGGTGAAACCCCATCTCTACTAAAAATACAGGAAAAAAAAAAAAAAGCCAGGTGTGGTGGCTCACTCCTGTAATGTCAGCTACTCGGGAGGCTGAGGCAGGAGAATTGCCTGAACCCAAGAGGAGGAGGTTGCAGTGAGCTGAGATTGCGCCACTGCACTCCAGCCTAGGCAACAGAGCAAGACTCTGTCTTGGGGGAATAAAAGAAAAAAAACAATACGCTTTAAGGCTAGGCATGGTGCCTGTAATCCCAGTACTTTGGGAGGCTGAGGTGGGTGGATCACTTGAGCTCAGGAATTCGAGACCAGCTTGGGCAACATGGTAAAACCCTGTCTCTGCAAAAAATACAAATATTAGCTGGGCATGGTGGTGAGCATCTGTGGTCCCAGCTACTCAGGAGGCTGGGGCTGGAAAATCGCTTGAACCCAGGAGGCAGAGGTTGCAGTGAGCCGAGAGTGCACCACTGCACTCCACCCTGTGTGACAGAACAAAACCCTGACTCAAAAAAAAAAAAAAAAAAAGCTGGGCTCGGTGGCTCACTCCTGTAATCCCAGCACTTTGGGAGGCTGAGGCGGGCGGATCACCTGAGGTCGGGGGAGTTCGAGACCAGCCTGACCAACATGGAGAAACCCATCTCTACTAAAAAATACAAAATTAGCCGGGGCATGGTGGCGCATGCCTATAATCCCAGCTACTCGGGGAGTCTGAGGCAGGAGAATCGCTTGAACCGGGAGGGCAGAGATGTGTGAGTCGAGATCATGCTATTGCACTCCAGCCTAGGCAACAAGAGTGAAAACTCTTTCTCAAAAAAAAGAAAATAGAAAAGAGGACGAAGGGTCTGGTGATTTGCAAGGCTGCAAGTACTAGTGGCGTTCACATACAGTCAGGTAGCACATTGTAGCCTCAAAATCTGGCTCAAGGGATCCTTCTACCTGAGGCCTTCTGGAGTAACTGGGACTAAGGCACCTGCTCTTTGGTTTTTTTTTTTTTTTGTTTTTTTTTTTTTAAATGGGTTGTCTTTTAAGACGAAAATTCATTTTGGTGATGCCCAATTTGTCAATTTTTTAATGATTAGTGCTTTTTCCGTACATTTTTATAAGGTACCGGTTCTTAATAGCTTTATTGAGATATAATTCACACACCATACAATTCATCCATTTGAAGTATACAATTCAGTGGGTTTTTTGTTTGTTTGTTTGTTTACTCACAGAGTTCTGTAACCATCATCACCACAATAAATTTTAAAACATTTCCATCACTCCCAAAAGAAGTCCCATATCTATTAGCCATCATTCCCCCTAAACTCCCTCCAGTCCTAGGCCACCAGCAATCTGCTTTCTGTATACCAGATTTGCCTATTTTGGACATTTCATGTAAATGAAATTACATATTGTGGTTTTTTATGCCTGGCTCTTCACTTAGCACAGTGTTTTCAAGGTTTACATATTTTAGGCTGTACGTGCTTCTTTTATTGCTGAATAATATTCCATTGTATGGGCATACCACACTTTGTTTATTCATCAGTTGATGGACATATGGATTGCTTCTACTTTTGCGCTATTATGAATAATGCCAGTATGAACATTTGTATACAAGTTTTTGTGTGGACATATGGACTCATTTTTCTTGGGTATATACTTAGGGGCGGAATTGTTCAGCCATATGGTAACTCCATGTTTAGCCTTTTGAGGAACTGTCACACTGTTTTTCAAAGTGTCTGCACCATTATACATTCTCACCAGCAGTATATGAGGATTCCAGTTTATCCCCATCTTTACCAATGCTTGTTATTATCTTTTTTATTATGGTCATTCTAGAGGTTATCAAGTGGTATCTCATTGTGGTTTTGATTTGCATTTCCCTGATGGCTAATGATGTTAGCATGTTTACATGTGCTTATTTGCCATTTATATATATTCTTTGGAGAAATGTCTATTCAGATCCTTGCCCATTTTTAAATTGGGTGTGAAAAACAGATTTTATATTGAAATACAAGGACTGCCATATGGAGTTGGTGAGCAAATTGAGAATATGAGTGTGTAATTCAGTACCAGACATGGATCAGTATGCCACTTAAAGCAACACTGACTTAACTGTGGTCCTTAATCTAAGTTTACATGCAAAATTCTGTGACTTGTTTATGTGAGTTGTCCATGACTTCCATTACATTTTCATAAAGGGTCCATTTATACTTCCTAGAAACCAAAGGTAATTTTAATGGCTGACACCAAGTAAACAATAGACTATAACATTTTGGAGTCCAGCCTCTTCAGTTTG